GCAACAATCCAAGACTTCCAATGAGAGAAGTTGTATGTCATGTATTCAGTTTTCGAAGAGAAAAATACAAGCCTTATTTCAACTCAGATACAAAGTTCAAAGAAAACTGAGAGAAACTCAGAGAAAACTGCAGTGCTCATGGCTGTGAGTTCTCACAGGCTGCAATGAGTCTGCAATGAGTAGCTGACCATTAAGAAATGAAGCTGGTGTAAGTGACCAGAATGGCAGAGTTGCTGCTAGTTGGCAAGCACTGCTGAAAATCTGAAAATATCACTGATGACATCTTAAAGACTTCTTTCCTGCTCAAAAGATATGGATGATAGGAACAGTGATATTAACAAAACTCAGTAAAAGAGAGGGGAAAAAAGCTTTAATTCAAATGTGAAATTCCTCAGATGTGTAAAGTGCTTTTTAATCCACTTATTCCAGATTGACATTATTGCTTGGAAGCAGTGTTTGTTACTTCTGGTTTCTAGATCTGAGCAGAAAGAGGAATACTCTAAGTGCTGCAAATGATTTATTGCTTTATCTTAGGCACTTTAGTCATTGAGATGCAATGTGTTTTAATACAATTCCGCCTAGCAACACATTGAGAACTTGCTGTCCACACAAGAGCCTGGCAACATAATAAGGAAGAAATCGTCATCTTCTGCTATACCTATGTTTGGGAATGTTAGCACAAGTTGGTTTGCTTTGACTCGTTTACTAAAAATAACATTTTTTCCCAGAGAAAAGTTCAGCTTCTGGATTAGTCAAAGGGATAAAAATGTGCTGGTAGTACCAAGAGCAATTACAAGTGAAGCTCAACAAGAATTCATTATCATTGTGTATTTCTATACTACAACATGATGCAGGACAGGTACTGTAACTAGAGTTCAGACATGTGTATCAATTTGATTTTTTCACAAAATGAAGAGATTATGAAAGCTCAAATAGTGTCAAGTATCAGTAACAGCTATGTGAGCCATAAAACTGAAGGAATTATTTTAGCATAAATAATTTGTTACATTAAAGATGTCTACAAACATGGCACAGCCAGATTTTACATGCGCTTGCAAAAGAAACCAGGCATCTTAGCTGACCTCCTCCTTTTCTGCTACTAATATGGTGAACCATTTCCAATATAAATTAGTTTATCTTTACAATAACTCAGCACAGTTCTTACCGGTGAAAGCCATGTAATAATATATACAAAAAGGTTCAGTAAAAAGCATTCGGGGAACTATAGTGTTAGTGTTTGGGAGCAAGACAGATTTTATGCCCTTTGTGTCTTGCCTTTCAGTTGTTCATCACCTACTGTCCACAACATGCACTGGTGGAGAGAAGGGAGATGATGTGGCTCAGACCAAAAACCATACAGGCTCTCTCCTGGTCCACCTTTCACTGACCACTGTGGCCAGCTCACATCTAGTCCAAGTTTTGACTTCCTGGTCCTTTATGTGACATTGGGTCCAGAAACCTTCTTGACACCACTGCATCATGCACCACAAAGAGGAATAACATATGGGTAACAAAACAATATAGACTTCTTACGATCAATGAAGACTAGACATGCTTTCCTGAACTAAAATTATGTTAGGTTTTTGTAGCCTGTTTTGCTTATAGACCTATTTTCCTCACATTTGTTCAGCCCCTGTTCCAGCCTTACCTACTCTCTCAATATCTTGTATTACTCATCTCTGTTTCCATTCAGTTTAATAACTTGTCCTTCACATTCTACTCCCACAATTTATTTTTGGTATTACTACATATATTCCTGGAGTTCATTTCTGTCTGTGTAAACAATGGCAAAGGAGAAGTCTATATAGTGGAACATGCCACTTTTAAAATGAATGCTTCTTTGCTTATTTCAAGCTTCCAATACGCATCCCAACATACACAAATGACTAAGGATAAATGAACAGTCACCCTTGTCCCTGCTACTCATTCCTCCCACTGGCATCTACTCTATATCCTATACGGCTGAAAGAACTGAGAAAGCCAGCATATTCTATTTACCCTTATACAAACTTACCATCATTATTTTAATTTACATCATAAAATCCAAAAGTGTTCTAGCTGCTTTATGGAACAAATAATAATATAAAGTCACTGTTCGAAAGCACACAATTGTATTTTAGAACCCTTGTAATCAAAACAATTAACAGCTGCAAAGGGATGATGAATGAGGGAGAATTATTAAATAAATAGTAACTCCTACTTCATGCATTTTTTGGCAGTTTCCCTAAATGTAACCTTTAAAATGGCTTGTGACATACAATCTTTTCTACTGTTTCAGGTACATAAGCATTAAAGGGACCATCTGAAAGAATAAGTATTCACCCATGACAAAATTAATGATAACAATAAGAATTAATTCTTTATTCAGAACTTTTTATCAACAGATCTGTGTTCTACAGAGGATGTCTTTGTAAGAAAAAGACATATGTATTACAGAATAATGTGATTTGACTATTTGCATTTTGTGGGATTTCACCATTTCCTTCAGAAGGATATTCCATTGCTTTATAGATCTTCTAACTATAAAGTGTCTTACTATTTAATCAAAACTTTCTTTGCTGAAATTTCAACTAATCATTTCTCATCTTGTCACTTTTGGCTGATGAGAACAATTCTGTTTTGTCCTTCTACACACTGCTAGCAAGAAAGCTATAACATTTCTAAGCTGTGGAAAACACCCATAGCATCTTTAATAGCAGACCTACACAAATTATCACAGCAGTTAATTACTGAATTCTCCACAACTCAGTTGCACTTCCCATTGAGGGATCTCTGAGTGACTTAAAAATGTTAGCACGTTTAATGTAAATAACCTGACATGCCATGGATTACTGTCAGTCTCATCCTGTGAAAGAAGATGGGTGCCACATCTGCTGATAGTCCCCCTTCCTTACCACAAGACCTTCCTACTTATGTGTGTAGCATTATGGCTTACTAAACAGAGAATTTTAAAGAAACAACAAACATATTTTATTTCTTTAAAATATAAATCCGGGATAAAACACTGAATATATCTCACTGGATTAAACAGATGTTGAAATATATATGTCCATTGTACATTTATTTCCGTGGCCTTAGATATGCTCTTATAAGAGGTCAACTGTGAAGAAAGGTGAAAAAGGGGGAGCCTAAACAGACCAAATTTTCTTTCCTATGCTCCTATAAAAGCTCTATGATTCCTTCTTTCCTTTCCCATATTTATTTTAGAACAGATAAGATTGAAGGGAGGCCCTACGTGAAGTGCTCTGGGATTTTTTCAGAGACTCAGATGGTCATCTATCTTTCAGGCAGAATCAGGCCTTGAGGAGTATGATATAGCAAATCCCATTAGACTGGAAATGAAGGAATTCTCTGAGAATATAGTCAGGACTAAAATGACTAAATCCATCCTCGCTTTTCTCTAAAAAAAAAAATAAAAAATACCAATCTACAGCATCCTTGAAGCAAGAGCACATACTCAAAAGGAGCCAGTTAGTCAACAAGAACTAACCAGGCTGGCAGAGGGGAATATTTCAGGTTAAGTGAGGAAACACTGTGAAAGCGTATTAGAATGGTGCAAAGGGAGGGTTCAAACATATCTGAAATATAGTGTCCATCTTTCTCCCCTTCTACCGCTCAGTACTGCCTGAGCTTTTTCTATTACCTCCTGGACTCCACTTCTTAGTGGTATTACTAATGGACCCTATGATAGGTACTCAAGTGTTGGTTAACTGGTTTTCCTTTCTAGAAGGAGAATCTGACCCTAGGATAACTCAAAGCACTTAATTTAACTCCTATGAGTTCTTCCAGATTCACAACCGCCATTCTTTCATCAAACACATCAGCACAAAATTATAGCACCATGAAATGCACTTAAGTCACACTATCACATAATATACTGGACAAAAAAAATAAGGCAAGGAAACGACCATTAAGCCTAAATTTCTGCTGTTTCATTTATAAAATAGTCAATCTTCTCTTTTGCTAATTACAAGGAGATAGAGCTGGCAGTCATTGGCTATTTTCTGTAATAAACTATTTTGTCTGTTTTCTTTAATTTCCTCAATTCAGTCTTCTAAATTTTGCCCGGAATAATACCTTATAAAAGCACACTAATGAAATGCCTCATTAGCTGCTTTCTTTTGTTACTTCTGTCTTGGCAATGCCACTTAGAATTCAAAGTACAGAAACGGTAGTACACCAGCAATTGTGAAGGACTTTGAAACACTCTGCATGAAGGGTGCTCTAAAAATTCAGCACTGAAACTGCAACCTTTACTTGTGACCATAACTGTTATGTTAACAGCGCTTGATCACAAAATGACATAAACTGTTTGTTTTTCCACTGAATTTAAGTATTTTTAGATTAGTTTAAAATAAACACATGAAAACAACATGTGAATAGAACTTGGGAATACAGTTTTAGCTGACTAAACCTTAGAATTGTAGTTTAGAATAACCAAAATTATCTAAATTTCTAAAAAAAAAGCATAATTTCTGGTTTACAAAAACTTGCAAAACATGGGCAGTTTTAACCCTTATTTTATTCTAGTCTTTTCAATGCACTGTAATAAACTTGAGATTAAAAGTGCTGTGAAGATACACATTGATTTAAGTATGTTTCTCTTACTGTAGATTAAATTGAACAAATAGATATGGAAATATAATGTCTTCCCCCTTTCTAAATCACTAAGATACAAACAATATTAATTGTTAGAATTGATGTTATTTTCTTCTTCATCTTGAGAGGGTTTTCATTAGAGAGACAAGAGGCTTGGATTATTGGTTATATTACCACATTGCCTTTTTACATAATATTCTGTCTTCAGACAGGATGTAATATAACGTAAACCAAAAGAATAACCTTTTATCAATCTGTAATTACATACTTGCAAAGATTTAAAGAGCAATGCTCAGTTAGAAATAACATCTAGTCTTTCTTGGAATCTGATTGATGATTTCAAGAAGCTTAACTGTTGTAGAGATATGTAAGTTATTTTAAGAATAAAAACAATCTCTTACTTGGTCCTCAAAGGAGATCGCCTGGGCAACATCTCTGGGAAATCCATCAATCACTATACCCTCTTCATCAGGGATCTGCATTAATCTCTGCTTTATCTCAGTTATGGTTGTTTCCTTTCACAGAGAAAAGAAGTTATTTAATATTGTAAAGGAGCTTTTCTTGATGATGCACTTAAATACAGCATGTACAAAAGTAAACATTAACACAGGATACGCTGTACCTGAGGGGCCAGTTCTCCAGTAGTAATTATTTTAGCAATTAGACTCCATTTTCTATTGCTGCTTGTGCTGTGGATCTTCTTCCTCAACAATTCACCAACTGATATGTAGTTAAATCCATAACGTTCTGCTATTTTCAAACTCTGTGTTCCTTTACCACTTCCTGGGCCACCTATTGGTAATTATAAGCAAACCATTAAATTAACCTTTGATCTGAAGTACCCAATCACATGTGAAATCTTTGCTATGGGCACCAATTTTCCAACCATTATTACAGCAAATCTTGTAGTTGCTTGACTTGTTACCAGCCATTAGAAATGGTTCTCATCTACCTGATCATAAAGGTAACAGTTCGTAAAATGAAGTAAAAAAAGAAAACAAAACCAAAAAACTACTTGTGAATTAAAAATAAACACAGTCTTTCAGGCTTGACCTCATTTTAAAGCTGTTCCTGGAAAGGAATTTTTCTTTATTTGTAATAGAGGAACAGACAAATGAACTGGTCCCTTCCTGAACTCTGTGAATCCAAAGATAGAGCCAGATAGTCTGAAGCGTATTCATGTTAGAAAGAATCGTACTTGGTTAAATAAGCCAATTAAATCAATGGACTAGTCATGAAATGGAACTAATAAAATCTGCTCCTAAACATGCTTGCATGAGTTTCTGAGGTTTTCTAATTTTAAAAGACAGAAAAATATTAAATAATCAGCTGAGATGTTTCCATAGTGATTTGGTACAAGGACTTTTATTGAACCACGCATACTTCTGGTATTGATGCTTGAAGCATCTGATAGAAACGCAATTTGTTAGGTTCAGCTTGCTAGACAACTTAAAAAATAAAGAGACCCTTCAATATAGCAGGCAGTATACATATCAAAATCACAGAAAACAGTTACATTAAATAGCAGGGAATGCTGAAGTGAAGGTCAGCTGGACAGCAGAAGCAAGAATGCATGTAAAAAAAAATCAGACTATGTCTGAACTAAAAGGAGACTTTATGATGTGAAGAACAGAGAAACTGGAATCCAGTAGGTAAAAATAGGGAATTGTTTTGTTAAAAATAAATGTTTATATAGAGAAAAGTGTATGTTACTGAATAGCATAACAAAGCAAAACCAAAACAAGTGGGTTTATATTAATTCCCAACACTAAGTAGCTATATTTTGGTGTATTGTGTATGAGAACACTGAATTTTATTTCAACAGACAAAAAATTAAGATTTGTTAAAAATATATGTTTTCTATGAACTTTAAAAAATACAGTAATGCAATGAAAGTAAATATGAATACAATGAGCTGCTTCTTAGCAATTGTCTAACTCTTTCTTATATTACCATATTATTATTCTTATATTACCGTATTATTATTCTTATATTACCGTATTATTATTCTTATATTACCGTATTATTCTCATAAATAGCTTTTAGGCATTTATATAATTAATACATATTTGACTGCAGGATAAGCTTTGCAGTATTTCTTCATCTATGGCTATGACACGCTCTGTGTAACCAGGTTCAAACCTGTGCCCCAATACTGCATGTCAGAGAGATTTCAGTGTCACCAGTAGTCACTAGGAACTCTTCTGTACCCCTGACGCTGTGATAGTAACTCTCCACCTGGCCTTTGTAACTCAGATAGGGACACATTTGAAGAGAATGCACAGGGAAGCTTGCATATTGTTAAGGAGTTCCCATACCCTGCCCACAGTTTAGTTATACCCTTGGGAAAAAAAAAAAGGGTTAAATCATTATCCAATTAGTTTAAATTATGCTTAAATCAAGCCAGGTTAAGACAAATGCAAATACAAGCATTTATCTGTAACGTCCAACTAGTCAATACAGCTACAGGTGTTCATAGAACATACAAGCAAAGAAATGAAAGAAAAACTGTGTCTTATCTCAGTACAGTAAGGTTACAACTGAAAAATATTTTCCCATCATTCAGTTCACTTGCTGTTTCTCTCCTAAAAAGGCACATGCTTTCTCTCTATCTTTTGGCAGATTATGTTAGATTTTACAGCTATTCCTCCATTTCAGTTCTTCTAGGTGATCTAGATGGACTTAGTTTTTTCAGCTTGAACTCCTTCTTTCATAGACAGTTTAGCTATCCTCTTTGTTAGAATAAAGGATTTTTCCCTTTTGTAGATACGCAAGCATCTGATATACTAGGAATCATCTCCTCCACTAAAATGGCTACAAAGCAATTCTGCTTCGGCTCTCCCCACTCCCTTTGATGGCACGCTCAGCCTTCCCCCATGACAAATGCATTTCACCAAACCTGATGTTGTGTTTGACTCCTGGATCAAAAACGTACCTGATACTAATGTTCAAACAAAACAGTTTACAGTTTATTACAGGCTCTTGGTATTACTGGAATGATAGTAGGCTTGGAGTAACTGATTCCCAGTGTCTTTTCTCTTACGCAGACAAAAACAACAGCACAAAGAAGTGCAGCTAATTGTTCGATGATTGCTGCCAGTTTGTATGGAGCAGATTTTGCCAGGTGAATGGATTACTACTCATTACTGGGACGTCGGTTCGCTCTGTGTAAAGATTTCCATAAGCAACCCTCTCTCTATATATAAAGCCATATACTGCAATCTAATGAGCATAACATAAACAATGTATCTTATATATGTGTGTGTTTATACATACGTGTAACATTTATTACTATGAATTATGTGGTTTATTTACTGGCAATAACCCTAGCTACTGGAAAAAAGGGGCGGTAGGTTGTGACTATGCTTTGGAGCAAAGGGTTTATAAAACATACTGGAGCCAATGCTGTGCTTAATTCCTGCATATAGAAAACTTCAAAGGAAGGAAATTCAGTTTATTTCCCTGGAGACTCAAGACGAGTTTGAAACAGACTATGTTGCACCCCAGAAACAATAAAGATGCAAAACATATATAAGTAACATGTAGAAAATTAGAAACAGAAAATTTAAGAAGGAAAATAGTATCCGCATTCCAGCAGAGATACAAAAGATGCCAGAAAAACAGAACTGCTACTTGAAAAAACATCAGTCTTTGTAAAACCGTAAAATAACTGAAAAAAACTTTTTGAAACTAAGTAGGTGATAGACTTTACACTCCTGTTAGGAGTGCCATTAAAGAGAATCAGAAAAAAAATGTGTAGTTTGGCACTTCTTCCAATTTGAATCGCAAGCAGAAAAAAACTAATAAAGTCTTTGCTTTCATGTTCATAAACTTCTCATACATTTTGTTTTTCTCAGTCCAAAAATACCCCTTTATAGCAAGCCGGGATTATCCATTTACAATCTGAGGGGAAACATTCAGGTAATAAAATAAGAGAAAAGTGACAGGACAAAATTACTTCCCACAGCAAATTGTTATAATTTATTGAACTATGTATCCATTCCTGACTCTTTGATAAATCATACTGACAAACTGTTCAGAAGAAAGGAAAATCAAATCATTTTTGATTTTCATTCTTTTCACTTATTCTGAGATTATACATTATTCAAGAAAAGCTTGATTATCTTACATATTTCTTAGAAGATGTCTAGACTAAGGAACATTTGTTGCATCTAAAATTATAATTGCTAACTGGTTTCAAGTGAAGATTTGTATGCCCCAAAAAGTTTTCCTAAAACAGTTGTTTTAATCTAGTTTTGTCAATGGAAGTTAAAAATTTCAATTTTGCTTATATTGTTGCAGATTCAAAATAAATTAATGTAATAATAAGATTTCTGAAAAGACTTATGATTTTAAGATCTAGCTGTGGACTGGATTTAACAAATCAACAGGCCAGCTGCCTGCTGACAGCACTATCTTTGATCTATCCTTTAAACTTTGATTATAAAAGGAAAACATACTCTTTTAATATTAACTAATATTTTTAATCAAGCGCAGTTTAAAAACATACTGAACTATGGGGCTAATGACACCAGATAATTCATTTGTTAAGATCTTTGTATTCAGGCTGTATCAGTAGTAAAAATGTGTTTGTCAAAATACGTTAGGAAGCACATTTTTAAACACAATTTAGTTTCCTAGTGTTATAATGCCTTAGAAACTTAATTTTCCAGTGATTCATGCGTGTGCCATCCTGGCTGGTTCCATCTGATTTTTCTAAAATCCAGTCACATACTCGCTTTGCAGCTTTATAGCTTTACATTTCACCAGAAGACTTTTCTGCAAACACAGGAAAAGAACAAAACCCCCACCTTTATTAGTGAGTTCTCTTTTGCCTTGCAGCTGCCTGGTTCATTATAAGGGTGATAGATTTCATAAAGCAAAGAAGTTGTAAAAACCTTTATGGAAGCATTAAAAAGATCTTGGGCTTCTGCATTATTAAAGAAAAGTTCACCTAATACGTGGAGCAGAAGACAGGTCTTTAACTTCTGTTCATTTCAGTCCCCAACAATGAATGGGACCAGTACCATCTGAGCTTGGCAGAATGGTTAGTTATCACTAGTTAGACATAAACACCTTGCTTAACTGAAGTTCTCACCAGCATTTTATGCAAAATGAAAAATATGCAACGTATTTTTGTGTATAATATTTGTATCTTGAAATTAATAGTACATTTTTTTCATTTTGTCTCTTTCATTCAGTATATTAGTTATTCTTTTGTTCTTTCCAGTGTGTGTTTTTATGTGCTTTCTCAACAGAAAGTTGAATTTGGGAGAAATTTTTGTGATACTATACAAAATTGGTCAATAGCTGCTAAGCTACATATAGTATTGTGTTTCTATCAGACCACACTATAATAGATAGATTCAGAGAAACTCAGTTGGAAATTAACCCTAAATAGCCTTTGTAGAATGTTTACAATGTTTCCTATATCTATGGGAGAAAAGAATAGCTCTGTAAAATCCCATGTCTGTTCACTGGATGCTGGCATTCAAAGATTTCACTTCAAATACCCCTGCACTCAGTTCCAGAGGTGAAAGGCAACCTCTCTTTATCTCACCTAGATCAAACCTTCATTCATCACTCTACTGCAACAGAGCTACATGGATTTCAATGCATTAAGAGCCTTCTGTGGTCACTGAAAAGGAGCCAGTTTTTCTCCTTTATGAAAAGGAAGGCTAGCTAATTAATGAAGATGAAAGAAAGGCATGTGTTATTTCTCCATCTAATGCAAGCTTCATAGTTCAACAGTGCATGGAGAAATCTGCATGTTGAGATTTGTAATTCTGAAACAAAAGATTAAGAAAATTCAAATGCCTAAGCAATTCTTTCAGCATATCACAAATATCTAAAAAAATGCCTGTTTTTCTATTTTCAGTATATTCCAATATCACATTTCCGAGAACTGCTGGATGCAGGGCCTAGAGGACGTGCCGTTCTTAGGGATCCCACTCTATAATACAGAGAGGACACTTCTCTTCTCTTCTACTATACTACATACTATTCTCTGTTATGGAAGCAATATCTCTCTTTAATATGAATAAGGCATTATAGACTAAAAATGTGATTCTCCATCACCTGGAACCTGTGCTGTAACTATTTAAACAGTCCAAAGAATCAGAGAATTAGGCCTGGCAGTAAAATTTCGAAAGACAACCATCCCAGATGACACGGAAACTAACTCAAAGAACTTAAATACAGAAATAGAATAAAATGCTGATCTAGATTTAAACTGTAGCTATTTCTTCATAAACGGTATGCTTGTCTGAGGCTAGAAAGTATGAGTTGCTTAGAAAGGACACTAAACAGCACACAAGAGAGAACTTGGGGAGAAAGCACAATTAACTAATGCTAACTGATCACTCACTCTCCCTGGCGTTGGCACAGGATTCATTCGCCAAATAGATCTAGGGATTAATTTATCAATGCAATGGACTAGTGACCACGTACGCTCACTCCAGCTGGACATACCAATCAGTTTTCAAGGTTCTAAATATAGAGGACAACAGTTCCCTATCACCTTTTTGAGCTGGCTTATCCAATATTTTTAAATAACCTTTTTTGTGAGCAGCTTTGAGTACTTCTATGATAGTGTTTTAGTTCAGATCCAGAGCACACTTTGGAAGAGCACTTTGGTTCACATGGTGGAGCTGTCTTGAAATGCACGAACTGGGTTTTTTTTAGATTAAATCGAACTGGCAGATGTGCTCCATAAGCAAACCATAAGCTCTCCAGCTGCTAGCAGGCATCCAGTCTACAGAACATGGCCACGTGTGCTCACTGTAACCCCTAAAATGCTTACAGTTGGGATGCTATATCTTCAGCACTAACAATTTCACTTTCTGATACACTCTAATTGGGCTGCACCACTTGCTACAGCAGATGGAAAAATTGTATTTAAATACATATAGGCATTCAAGGTATTTGCAGAACAAATAAAAAGGCAAAGTAACAAAGATAAAATCTTGTCAAAATGACTCTGCTTTCATACCTATGACAAGGATAATTTTTGGTCGAGGTCTTGCAGGATCAAATACGTCATACTCCTCAATTAGCTCAGCAGTTTCAGAGAGGTCAGTGTCACTTTCTATTGAAAACTGTTGGATTGGAGGGAGTCGGTCATACCGTCGGTAGGGGAAGTTAGAATTATCAGGCATCACTGTAAAATAGTAAGATAAACTGGGAATTGTGGAAATACACAGAAAACTCAAAATCTATTGTGTACACAGATTTAAATAAGTATAATAAATAAATATAAAGTATAAATATCTCCTAATTTTACAATGTGCTTGCTGTTAGTATATTAAATATTCCTTGCTTCTATTTAGCTGATTTATTAAATTGGAACCACTAGGAGCCAGTTTTCTTTGGTGTTTTTTTACAAGCACGTCAGCTTTTCTGTGAAAATCTGCCCATAGCACCCAGAGTTCAGCAGTGGCCTCTCACCAGAAAAGCCTTGTATTGCGCAGATAACCTGTGCTACTAAACAGAACTCTTGGTGATACATGTTGTACACAGCGATAGAGATAGTATTCTTGCTAATTAGTTTAATGAAATGCTGGATGGCAAGGAAGAATAACTATGGCAACTGAAAGATGAGCTAATTACTCTTTGTTAGCATTACAAATAAAATAATTACAGGTATTGGTATGACATTTGCTTAGATTTTATAAGATGCACCTTTTTCTAAGAGTTTATAATTTACACTGTATTTAGTAAATGAGCATATAGCTCCAATATAAACTAGAAAAACAACCTAGTGTAACTGCATTGAAGTTAGTATGTACGTCACCCATAAGGACCAACTAAAAATATAAGCCAACTGCACTGAGTCAACTTTGCCCCTGTCTTTGCAAATGTTTTAGGTAAGATAGGAGAAACCTCTCCACTAATGTGTTAAACATTTACACACCAAACATCCATCATTAGGCTGCAAAATGATCACAATTTCTCCTCCTGCATAGCATCCGTTATGGGAGAAGAAAAACAAATGCCAAAACACAAGGAAACAGAATCCTTGAGTCCTTTGCCTAAGGAAAAGTAGAATGAGACATGATCTGCTATAGAAGTACATACAAAATAATTCAGTAGTGGATGTAAAACCACCCACAGTACAAGAAATATAATCATTTTTATACTTAATACATTACCATTCCTGAAAAAAGACCTCCTGGATTGTCCTCCATTGAGTGGAGGCAGGGTCTTCTTTTCTGGGCTGACAAAAGTGTCCCATTTCACTTTTTCTGACCCTCCAAGCTCTTTCACCTTCTGCAAACAGCTTTCCAGATATTCAACTGGGTCATCGGGTTTGTAACACATTAATCCATTCAACAAACTCTGCAATGTAAGATCAGAAATACACGCTATAATGATAGATGTCAGGAAGAAACAAGCACTTTTATGTTGAATTTTACTTTACACAGAGAAACCCCATATTCCTTGTATATTCAGACTACCCATTTCAAGCCAATGCGTGAGAGTGAGGCCTGCAAAAATTGTACAGTTGTGGTTTGCCAATGTCACAAAAATGATTCAGAACAAGAAGCTCGTGGCTATGTCTTTATATTTGTCTGTTTGCACAGTAATAAAACCTGAAAATAGTAAAAAAGTTCCCTACATTTTTCTTAGAACGACTACTGGCACATATATGCAGAGCAATGCACAACCTAGGTAGCCCCCAAAGTTACATATTCTGCATAGCCTATTAGATCACTAAAACGTATCTTTTCCTTAAAGACCAGTGCACCCACAAGTATCTTATCCATATTCTTGCGTCAACGCTTACACAAATAATGAAAAAAAGACTTTTAACAATCACAAGAAATACTCAAATACTGTCTTGATCAGTATTGGGAAAAAAAACCCAAACCCAAAGTTCATAGGTGCTTCCAGATTTAATTGGCCAAAAATTCCCAGCCATTAGAAAACCCCTGCCTACAGTACTAATTCTGTTCCCATCGCACCTATGAGCATTATGGGGAGTGTGGAAGAAGGAAAGTCAGGCTCTCCTCTGATGCATGGTAATTGATTTTCCTTGACAAAGTGATACGTAAGTCACCATCTCACCTCTCCGCAAGACAACTGCATCCAACCTTCTCTTTAACAGTAAATGTCTTCCAGGATTATTTCTGTTCCTTTGTGCTTCTCCTAATTTTTGTGCAAATAAACTTGAGGGTCACAGTTGGTGTTGGTAATAAAAATGAATAGCTCCAATTCAGGATTTGCTCAGTTATTTGTTATCTACAGTTCATACAGTAATTGTTACTTACACATATTTGAATTTATAAAATAGGCTGTAATTTCTATGCATCTATGCCCTTATTATACTACTTAACCAATCACAGCAATTAGCCATATATTTTTGTAGAAGATATGCACCATTTTTTAAAAATTGCTGGCTCAAGCTTTGAGTCTCTACAGAAAAACAGTTTTGTCTGCATCTCTTGTTAAACCATTCACATTCTAAACGTGTTAGTAAAACGTTAGCATGGTCTCTGTCCTGTAATTTTCAAATACATAAAAAAAGGTCTAGCTTGAGGACAGAGCAGGGGAAATACCTACGCGTCTCTGTGTGTGTGCGTTTTATATAGATGGCAGGATGTCTGTCTGATTCGGGCGGAAAAAAAAAAAATCCCCACTGCACCGAGAAGTAATTATCGACCATTAGCGGCAGGTAACTTGGGAGGAAGCTAAACAAAACCTCACTGAAAAGTTGTGGGTTTTCTTCTTTTCCCAGACGGGCCAAGGGG